AGTTTTTTTTTTTTTTTTTTTTTCGTAAAAAAGGATACTCGCTTATTCTTGGATCTGTTCCTGATTGATAATAAAAAAATAATGCAGAAAACAACATTGGAACAATATAATTTTTTGTAAATAATATTTAATATTGAATTTTAATAATTTTTGGTATTCAGAAATAAATATAAATTCAAGATTTTTGTATTTAATTAAGATAATCTGGAATATTTTTTTATAAAAGTTCTTATCGAATGTACCTTGACTTTAATATACGGATCTGTGTCAGCCTTTCTAAAAATTTTTATTTGTTAATTTTTTTTTATTAAATTCAGTTCTTGTGAAGATGACGTCAGGTTTGTTATAAATATTATTACAGATTAACTTGCTATTTGCGCTCTTAATTCACTCTTGTTTTATACACTTGAGCGATAATTATATTGATTAATGAAAATTGCATATTGATCGAACGATTAAAAATCGTTCAATTGCAGTAATCATCTCCAGTTTTTTTTCTTTACCTTTTAAAATACATTTAAAACTTATTAGTTTTTTTTTAATGTCGAACCTAAGAAAAATCAGTGGCATATCAGTTTTTTTTTTTTTTTTTCGTAAAAAAGGATAATCGCTTATTCTTGGATCTGCTCCTGATTGATACAATAATAAAAAAATAATGCAGAAAACAACATTGGAACGATATAATTTTAATAACTTTATAAATAATAATATCTTATAAATAATACCTGACACTATCTTTACAAGAACTGATAAAGATAATATTATAGAAGCTATGGAAAAAAAAATGCAAACCAAAACTCGGCACAAGATCGATTTTAATAAAAGAGATTACATCACAGCATTATCACGATTTCTCTGTAGTCGTAAAATGTTACGTTTTGAATAACTCTTCCCTGGTGAGAATAAAAATCGAATGTAAGTGGAGAGTAACAGAAGCGTAAAAAACGAAGCTTCGTTTACGCTTCTGATGTTACTTTCCCCTTACATTCAACTTACGCTCCGATTTTTATTCTCGCTAGGGAGAAGTTATCTAAAACGTAACATTTTCTATGATTACAGAGAAATCGCAATAATGCCATGATGTAATAATAACAAGTGAAAAATTCCTGATGCTTAATCAGAAATCTCCCAAATTATTATATATTCAGCCATTATGCGCAACATTATATCATATTCTTATCTGTATTCTTATCTGTATTCTTACATTATGGATAATGCAAAAAACAAAACTCTTATTAGGAAATAACAAAAATTTACTGATTATCTTAATTTTTTAAACAATTGTTATACAAAATACACTCTTCACGAAAACCATTATACAACAAATTAATTTTATATCAGCGATTATGTAGCAATGTATTAATTAATATTAATCTTGAATAAAGAAAAGAATGCCTTGTAATAACACTGATTGAATTATGACAACCATTCAATCTCTCTTACTCACTAAATTTAATTGAAAAATGTCAGAAAATTAATTTGTTAAAATATTGATTTCTATGATAAATAGATATAATAAAAACAACTTTTGTTTTGCTAATGCAAATTGTATTCGATTATAAATATATTATTTTGTATATAAATAAACTTTGTTATATTTATGTAAAAAAAATATTACTATTATAATAAGATTATTATTAAAATTACTATGAAAATCCTTCTTTAACATTTTATATATACATGTCTATACAGATCGGATTGATAGAGAGATATGATTACATTGCCGAGGAGCATTATATAACAACAGAAGATGGTTACAACTTGGTAATACATAGAATATCAGGAACTCCTTTACATGTAGATCAAAAGCAAAGACCAGTTGTGTTCCTTAAAAGTGGTATCTTTAGCTCATCTGATACCTGGGTGTTATTCGGTCCTGGCAGAGACCTTCGTAAGTTTAAGAAGTAAAAAGTTTAGCAATTTATCTAGAATTCTAGAGTAACTTTATTAGAGAAAACTTATCATATTATTATACTATCATATTATCTGATAAAATTTGATCTCGTCATACATATTAAAAGAAGAAATTAGAAAAATACTTTGTTATATCTTAATAAAGCAGAGTATTTAATAAAATCATTTAAATAAATTGTCCAATTATTTTTTTGTAATTTTTAAATAAAATTTATTTATTTATACTATACTAAGAATTTATTATTATTTGCTTAATAAAAATATATTATATTAGTAAGAAATGATTCTATATTAAATCAATTCTATGTTTCAATTCTTTTTCTAAATAATGTTTTTTAATGTATAAAAAAACTTTTTTATTAAAATAACAAAATGTTTTGTATAAGAAAATATCTTATATATATTTTAAGAGAACAAATAATACTTGCCAGAATAAATAAGAAATGTTTAAAAAGCATTATAAAGATAAATATATCACAAAGAGTAAAATTAGAACAAGTCATTATTACTACAAGTTAATTCGATAATACTTGATAAATAAAAAAACTAATTATGTATCATCACCTTCTGTTCTAGCATTTTTATTGGCTGATGAAGGATACGATGTGTGGCTTGGAAATTCCAGGGGAAATACCTATTGTAGATCACATGTAAAATTGTCTCCACAAAGCAAGAACTTTTGGCGGTATAGGTATAATCTTATTTCGCAAGTATATTATCTTAAAAAAGTATTTTTTATTGATTTTGACCTTTGTCGAAATTATTTTAATTACTTTTATAATTACATACATATGTCTCCCTTTTTTTGGTCAAGGTATCTCTACTTTTATCTTACTTTATTTATAGGTATCTTCTAAAATTTCTAATTAAAATCGATGTTTTTTTTTTAAATGCCTTAATAAAGACTCTTAATACTGTGTACTATATGATTCGACATTTTTATTAAAAAAAAATTAATTATTGAATTATTATTGAATTAAAAAATTTATACAATTATTTTGTGATTTTGCAGCGTTAAAAAAATAATAAAAAGAGAAAATAAAATTTACTTTTACTGTCTAGCTACCACGAGATAGGAACGAAGGATCTTCCAGTTGTGATTGATTATGTACTTAATTACACAAATCAGAAAACTCTGCATTACATTAGTTACTCGATGGGAAGTACCGAATTATTCGTTTTATTATCCATGAGACCAGAATACAATGCAAAAATAAAACTGGGAATCTGTCTTGCTCCAGTTGCCATTTGGAAAAAAACGATTCCTTTTCTGGAATATTTTTATAAAATGATACCAAACTTTAAGGTAAAAAGATATCAAAATTATATTTTAAAAGAAATAAAAATATATTTTACATATAAATTTTTTTTGTCTTAATACTACCTTATTAAGAGTATAATTCTAAATTTTTATTAGCAGAATAATATTTTGTTATTATACTTAATGTAATGATAATTAATAAAATTATATACGATCTAGTAAATAAATAATTGATTAAATATAAGAGATTATTTTTATAACATGTATTGTTACATCAAATTTTTTTTGTATATTGGATATTTTTTTATATAAAAT